ATCTATATTTATTTATAGATATAAATATATATGTATATAAATTACATGTATATGTATTTATATATGTACATATATATTTATCTATATTTATTTATAGATATAAATATATATATATGTATATAAATTAAAACTCTGATGAACCAGATTCTACAAAAACATTACATTTAAATTTTTATAGGTTTTCATCATCATTTGATGTATTTGCACTCATTGTGTCTACTTTTAATGTTCATTTTAAATGTGTGGTTTTCTTTCTTGTTCACATATAAACATTTTATTTTTAGCTTTGCTTTAAAGTTCTTGTTTTGTGATTTGTACATTTGTGGGTTAAAATAAAGTTGAACTGAAGGTCGTCTCTTCTTTAAACATGTTTGAGGGAAATATTCCTGAGATCCAATAGTTTTGTGTCTTTTTATGATTTTCAGCTGAGTTAACAGTCATTAAAGTGAAAACAGGATTTCACGATGAAGCTGGCACCGTCTTTTTTTTTTTTTTTTTTAAATCTTCAACGCTCTGCTGGTCTCGCACGACACTGCCCGCAGTCACACGATCCTCTCCTCCGGAGAAGAGGAGGCTGGGAGGCTCATCTTTCCAGCTCCAGTTCAGCTGGTCACTCACAGAGGCCGTTCCAAGACTCCAGCCGCGCGTAATCATGAAGGTCCGACCCGCGCAGACAGGCGGGCAGAGACGGGTCTGCGACGAACGGTGGAAGCGATTTTAAAAAACATTTTACGTGTAAAAAAATAATAATCATTTTTAAATCGCTTCAGCATTTTTTTTAAACATTTTTTGTATAAAAACAAAATATTATTTTATTTAAAAATCGCTTCCAGCGTCCGTCCCAGACTGTCCAGTCCGCCTGACTGCCGGGTGGGATCGGGATTCAGCCTTCATGATTACGCGCGGCCGGGGTCTCGCAACGTCCATCTGCGAGTCCCCATCTCCAGATTCGCAGTGACCTGCGGAGCTCTGAGCACACAAGGCTGGTATCCGGAACCCGATTCTCCGAGTCGGCACATCGAAGGATCTTCCGCGGTGACCAGCTGAACTTGGAGCCGGGGAGATGACGCCCTGCCCGGCCTGGCGCTCCGAGGCTCCGGAGGGAGGATCGGGGTAGACCAGCAGAGCTCCATCCAGCTTGCTCTGAATTATGTTGTCGGCCACCAAGCACAAAAAATGCCAGCACATCAACATTAGACCAAGATGTTGTCAGTATTGTTTTTAAAATCTTTAAAATAAGTCCAGCCTGCTCCAGTCCGAGAAATTGCAAATGGCGGATTATTGTTTTGAAAGTTTCTGAAGGATCCAGTGACTCCGCCCCCGACTCCGCCCCCGACCAATCAGTGACCGACAGTGTACTGATGTCACGTTTTTGTACCTCTTCGTACCGGTTAGAACCACAGAGCCAAGGGTACTGAAAATAGTAACAGGTGCTAAGTACCGGTACTAATGGAAAAGCCTCAGAACCGGGCCAAGTAGGGTCGAGTCGGCCCGTACCGGTACTAATGGAAAAGGGGCATATGAGTATAGGCATAGCCCTTTAAGGCTGTTGCTTAGTGGGTTTATCCCGTTATGCAAAGCATCACACTGAAAAAATTTAGTCCACGCCCACCTGCTGTGTGAGCCCCACCCGATCCGTATAAGTTACATTAAGAGCGGGTAATCGGCTCCTAAATAGCTTTATTTTTTCTTCAGCCATTCAGGAGCCAGTGAGGCCCGATGCTTAAAGGGCTACGCCTATACTCAAAGAATCTGGGGTTACAGTACGTAACCAACGTTCTATTTCGTATAGGCTTTGCCCTTTAAGGCTGTCACTTAGTGGGTTAAGGGCGAAGCGGATGTGGTCCTCGCCTCACTGGGTCCATTCGAACACCGTATGAAGCAGAAGCTTGCCCAAAAAACGTCTTGTCACTCAGCTCCCCATGTGCATAATTACGCATTGCGTAGTTATGTGTGCCATGCACAGACGCATGTTTATAACTATGCGTTCTGAAAAACATGAACGCCCCAGAAAATTTCAACGGGGAGGGAAGATGTTGAAAAAAAAGGGGGGGGGGGGGGGGCA